AGGTCATGTTTCCACTTCCCAGGAAGATATTATTTGGTTCAAACATTGGCTTGTGAAGAATCAGGAAAAGGAGGGTATGATGCTGAAAATTTGAAGAATATATTCACGTCAGGCTATCCTGAATATGCATATCCAAATATGTTTATAAGTAATCATGATTTATTGAGATTTGGTAATTTAATTAGAAAGAAATATGGATTTGGTAGAGATAATAGTGATTATTGGGGTAGACATAGAGCTGCAATTGCATTCCTCGCTGCATATACTGGACCAATTACTATTTATTATGGAGATGAAGTTGGAGATCTTGTAGAATGTTATTATAACCCAGGAGACTGTGAAGGAGCATATGATGATAACTCTGCTAGAAGTGATGGACATATCCAAGGATTTAATACAAATGAACAATCCCTTCATGACTTTACTGCAAAACTAATGAAAATTAGAGCATCTAATCCTTCATTGTATCAAGGAACAATTCAAAATGAGAAAATTGATAAAAGATTGTATAAAGTTGATAAAATTTATGAAAATAATAAAGTCCAAGTAATGATTAATGTTGGGACATCTTCCTATGATGTTGAATGCGAAAAAGGTACTGATTTAATTACTGGTAAATCTTATTCTGGTACTTGTCCTCTTACTGCGTTTGGTGTAATTTTCTTAAAATACAATTGATTCTTTGTTTAATGCTTTATTTTCCTTTTTTTGACTCATTCTTAGTTGTATCAAGAAAAGTAATATCTTTAAAAAGCTATAAAATATAAATTAAAAAAAAGACATAAAAAATGTTTAAATGAACAAATTCATCAATGTATTTTCAATAATGAATGTGTATATAATAATATTTACTACAATTAGTCTATATGAATTACATTTCAATTATATTTCAATAAAAATGATTAAAAATTGTTATATTAAAATTTCAAAATAAAGAATTTTTAGAAAATAAATAATAAATTAATAATACTAAAATAAAAAAATCAATCTTAGAATTATTGAAGTAACATAAGAATATAAATTATTTTTAAAACACAATCCATAAAAGAAATGATTATTAACAATATATAATGCATCTGGATAATAACAAGCCAAATTATATTCATATAATAAGTATAAAGAAAATGAATAATAGAAAAAAAAAGTAACTAAGTAAAAATAATAAAGAAAGATTATGAAAAATAATTTATTATTAGAATATGTATTATCATTAAAACTATAATTAAAATGTATTAAGAATTATTGATATTATTATTCAAATTGTGAAAAAATTGTTAGTTTATTAAAAAAAATTCAAATGTCATACCAAAAAAAAAGTGCATTGTATTAGAGATAAATAAGAAAAAAAAGAGTTAGAATATATTAAACTCAATTAAATAATCCTTTGTCAAAACCCATAGACTTGAATTATAGAAATTCATGAAATGTCTCTTTATTAATAAAAAATATTTAGTCAATAAAAAAATAATGATTAATTTATTTTGCTATAGATAACTTCATGCGGTAAGAAAGAAACTAAATTTATTTTATGATGAAATGTTGGACTTTGAAAGAAAAAAACCTACAAATAGAATTACATTTTTCAGTTATTTTCAAAAACAAAGAAAAAATAGAATGAAAAAACATTCCTCTCAATAAATAATCTTAAAAATCAGTTCAATGCAACAACCTCAAGTTAATATTTCAATTGAAGAATATGTTTCATTTAGACTTGGAGAAAAAGAGTTGTCTACAATAAGAAATGAAAATGAAAGATTAATAAAAGAAAATGAAAAAAAGAAGGAGGAGCTTAATGTGTTAAAAAAGTTACTTGAGAATAAAAGAATTAAAGTACAAAATGCTTCGAGAGAATACGCAAAAATTAGAAGTAGTTATGAAATTAATAAAGAAGTATTAAAACAAATTAATAAAAAAATTGGAAAAAGTACAATAGAAACTGAACAAGTTCTTCCACCAGAACCAAAAGAAATCAAAATGGAAGAAAGTGATGAAGAAACAATTGATGAACATATTAATAAATTCTCTATGATTGAAAGTGAAAGAGATCCACTTGAAATAACTGAAGAAGTAATTGATGAAGATACAATAGATGATAAAGAAGAAGGTGATTCAATAAAAAAGATAAAGCTACGATTTACTGTTCGTTATGACTTATTATTAACTATCTTTTGTGATAAATTAGAAAAAAGAGAAGACGTGAAAATACTTAAAGGTTATCCATCAATTAGAAGTAGTATTTTATTTACTGACTATTGTAAAGCTATTGGAGTTAAATTCCCTTCTTGTATTAGAAATGAAAACCAAAAAAAATGTTTTGTTAGAATTAACGTTGGTAATTTCAATAAATGTATTACTAAATTAGAAACTGCACGTATTTCTGGCGGTTTTCAAAGAAACCTCCTTGTTATTAAAGATAGGTATCCTCATGTTCAATATGTTGCAGCAGGAAGAATTGACATATAGATTTTTTATTATTCAAGTTAATATTATTGTTATATATCGCAATAAAAAATCATCACCATTTTTGTTTTTAATAAAAAAAATAAAAAAAAACTAAAAAAAACAATAGAAAAATATGCAGTATCAAGAATCACCATTCTCTCAATTCTTTTATTCTATTCCCATAGTTACACGAGTACTATTCTTTACTACATTGTCATTTTCAATTGTTGGTGTTTTTTATCCAGACCTTTTTTATTTGTGCTATTTTGATCGAGAACAGATTGCTAGTGGTCAAGTTTGGAGATTATTTACACCCTTCTTCTGTCAACAACTAGGATTTTCTTTTCTTATTCATATGTTCATGTTGTACAATTTTAGTAAAGAATTAGAAGAAGAATATTTTAATAATGACACAACCGATTATATTTTCTATTTATTATTTAATTGTTGTTTATTAAATATACTCTCTGTGTTTGTAGGACCATTACACTATTATTTCATTTCTCTCTTTGTTTACACTGCATCACGAGCTAATCCTAACTCAATCGTCTCTTTATCATTTGGTATTACTCTTAGAAGAATGTATTTACCATGGGCATTAGTGGTATTAAACTTTATTTTAGGTGCTCCAATACTACCACAAATTCTGATCATTTTAGTTGCTCATTTCTATTATTTCCTAAGACATGTTATTCCAGTACATTACCCAACACTTCCACGACTCGTTTAATTTAATTTACTTTATTAAAAGAAAATTCATATCATTTTTCAAAGGTGACAAAGTATTAAATTTATTATAAAATCTATTTGTTCACTCTTCCATAGCTTTAATGTGTTAATGTAGTATTAATTCTCCATAAAATTGTTAAAAAATGTAAAGTGTGATTTAGAGACTGTATTCCAAGACTCATATTCAAAACAACAATATTCTCCATTTTCTGAAACTTCTGATGTATAAATTGGGTCATTTAATTTTTTAAACCACTTTTGATATCCTTTATGATACTTCCATTTTCTTTGTTTTAACATCTCAGCCGCCTGTAATTGTAACTCTGTTCCTTGTGCATAATAAAACAAAAACATAAGAAATTCATCTTCTATTTTATTTGATTTAAAGTCAAATGGAATAGGTTGTGTTGGGAACCATTTAGGTAACGTTAAATTGCTAGGTTTTCTTTTAGGAGATTGTTGATGATGAAATTGTATCATACTATTATATGAAAATTCAATGTCTTTGATAGTTTGTAGTGTTTTTTCATCAATCACTGGTGAAGTACATTCTGTAGTTTGTTTCGTCGGTGTATTACTTGTCCGTTGTAGTGTTTGATTTTTATTTTCACCTTTTAATGTTTGAGTTGTTGTTTGATGGGGAGAAGGTTGTTGTTTTTGAACAGGACTAAGACTTGTTTTGACTTGTTGTGTTGGTGATTTAAGAATTTGTTGTGTACTTTTTGTTTGAACAGCCTTAGATGGTTGGACTTCTTTTAATGGGAGTTGAGACTGTTTAGTTTTATGTTGTTGAGTAATATTATTTTCATCATGTTCTGGTTGTTCTTTTTGTATTTCATTATTTCTACGTTCTTCTTCTTCTAATTCTTCTTGCTGGATTTGCAATTTTAAGCTTTCTAGATCAAATCGTTTGTATAGTTCAATACTATCATCATTGGTAATCATTTTACTTTCAACAGTCATCTCAACTTCTTCTTGGAATTCATTTACCTATTAAATAAATATTAAATTGTTTATATTAAAATAATAATAAACAAACATCTTCATCATCTAAAAATCCATATTTTAATGCTTTATCAATAACATTTAAATTTTCAATATGATTTTGAAGAATAGAAATTTGTTTGAGAATTTGATTTTTCTTTTGTTGTGATTGTTTTTTCTTTTTTTGTGGTTCTTTCTCTCTATTTAAATCTTCAATTTGGCTCTGTAAATTATTAATAATTTGTTCAATCCATGTTTGTTCTTCTTCTGTACTTTGTTCTTCAACAGAACCACTATCACTTACTCGTGCTAATCCCTCAATTGAATAAGGTTTAATTTTACTAATTCTTTCTATTTCTTTAAATGCTTCCATTCTTTCTTCAATTTGTTTCTTAGCTTCTGTTAATTGATTTTTATTTTTAATTTCAGTTTGTAACCAACCTTTGATTTGTTCTCTGCACTTTTGTAATTTTTTTAATGACTTCTTAAGATCCGCTTCTATTTTTTCATGTTGATGCCCTCCTTCAGTTTCATCTAATTTTTCTCTAATCTCATCAAATTCTGCAAACCCTGCATTCATAACTTTGAGAGTTTTATCGATGTCACTTTGTACCTTTCTATTCGTTGACATAATTACTAAATTTTTTTAAGATTGGGTATTTTTATTCCTCCAAAACCTGTTTTCTTATTTTTTATTTTTTCCTTTTTCTTTTGAAAAATTCATTAACAACTTGTATTGTATTATTATAACTCATCACATGAAATTTATATGAATACCACAAAAAAAATTTCAGATTTAAGTAAAAAAGGAATCAATTTTTACTTGAAAACTTTTCCATCAAAATCTTTTCTTCCTCCGAAATCTCCTTCCCATGCAAGATATTCAGTAATAAGAGCTTTGTCAGCAACAAGATCAAGTTTCTTCCAATCATAAAGTTCAACATCATCACAATCATTTAATTCCTTTGGCATTTCAGTTCCTTTGAAAACCCAAACTCCTTCAATTTGGAATGGTTTTTCATTACCGAAAATGAGAACTGAACCAAAAGCAATTTTATTAAATCTTTCAAGTCTTTGGAACATACCTCCAACAAGATTGCTAACCATAAATTGCATTGGTTGATTAAGTTCAAACTTATATTTGGAGAAATAGACACAATATTCCTTGGCATCAAAGTTATCAAAGAACCATGGAATAGAAACAGAAACTTCTTCATTTGAATAAGTTCTTTTCCATGAATCAAGATTGAAAACAATTGGAGCTGGTGCAGCTTCTCCTTCGGCAGCCATTATGAATGTTTTTTTAAGATTATTTTTCTGTGTTATATAGTCTAAGGGTTTTTTTGGGATTTGATATTTAATTTTAAAAACTAAAAAAACTTAGAGCTAAATTTCTTTATTTTCTTTTTTTTTTGTTAAATAATAGGGTTTTTTTTTAAGTTCACTTTAATTTTTTTATTTAGCATTACAGTCATAATGGTTTACACGTCATTTTTATTAACTTCTAATTATATTGCCTTTGAAATAAAATTGTATTATCCTCTCGACTATTAATTCTTTATTCCATCATTCTCTTATCTCTCTTTGATGATTCATAAAAAGACTCAAAAACAATTATTTTCTTTTGTCCCTAACAAAAGAAGAGTTTTAAGGATTCTTACTTTTTAAAGAAAAGAGTTATGACAATGGTGAAAAGGTGATTTAATAAAAATTAAAATTTAATGAAATATTCGTGTATTTTGTATTAAAAAAACTACAAAACAGTTATACTGTTATATAATCAAAACATGAGAGAGCAAATTTTTCATTTAATGTATAGTTTCAGTTTGTAAGTCTTCTTGTTGAATAATTGGTGTTTTGCTTTTACTTATGATATGACCAACTCACCAATTAGAAAAACCAAAAAAAAAACATAATTTTTTGACTAAAAGAGAAAAAATCTGA